GACGATTACTATTTCATAATAAAATTATGAATAATACTAGACTAAGGCGAAGAGCATGCATAGATGTAATAAAAAAATTATTAAAATTAAAGCAGTTAATACTCTTTGCGCGACCCACTAATGAAAAGTATAAAACTAAGATAATAGTATAGGATCTAAATGAACCAACCTTGTAATATAACCACCAGTGGGGCCCATTCCATTTTGGTCCACAATTATCCTTGGAGCATCACCTCCTCCAGGCATATTGTCATCCTTGAGATGTTTAGTAAAATCATCTTTCTTTGACCTGATAATTTAATCAGAGATAGATCATGTTAATGATACATATGAATTTAAAAAATTAAATTAATTTAAAAGAGCAAATTACTTGTTCCATGGAAGCACGCAGAGGCCGCAACATTTATTAAGATCATCCAAGTTCTTCTCTGCATCCTTCATATCTTGATTGATTTGATCCATTCCCTCATTAATACGATCAAGTTGTTCTGTGGAAAATAAAATATTATTCAAATAATTTGGTTTTAGTAAGGCCGTAAAGCCTATTTAGCAAATTCAGGACTGAAATTACAAGTAGGAAAAATATCAAGTTGCCTTCTCATCTAACGACACAATATAAACAGATCTGATGAGCTTAGAGAAATGTTGAGGATTGAAACATTAAATTTACAACAATGGTACAACAGTTGAGGCTTCGTCGACAGTCTTACCGCCCTGATCATCAAGCATAACCAGAGTCGAGATACCAGCCTCTTTAGCCTAGAGCAAGTTGGGATGGAGTAACTTTACGGAGGTCTACACAATTAAAGTGAATCAATAAGTCAAAAGTTGAGCTCACCTCTTCACAAAAGGCCATCATGCGACGAGTAGACTCAAGTGACTGAAACAATAAGAAACTCACTAAAAATCAGGTTGTCAGAAACAGAAGGAATATATCGCGATATTAGGAATAGCATTTGGATCTGGCAAGGACGCGTCAGTCTATTTTTATGAAAGTGCACCGTAGAGGTATCGCATACTAATTTTTTAAGCAATGAATGCAAAGCTTTTTTAAATTATGTCAACTATCTGCGAAACGGCATTCCTATTAGAAAAGAATAACTATCGTTTCAAATATCTTAACAACATTTTTTTCGCATTGGAGCCACAAATGATCGAATACAAAATATCTCTATAATGGGATTCAATAGC